AACCAAAGAGTTCAGGAATGTTTCAGGGTGCCCTGAAACCTCCCAATTTGCCATGTGAATGAATAAGCACTAGCACACATCCCATTCGGCTGGCTCTAAATGGCTCGAGACGTTCTTTCTCTTCAGTTTTGTCAGATTCAACATTGGAGCTGGTTCGAGCATGTATAGATCACCCATCGAATCAATATGAGTAAGGTGTCTAGGCTCTGTCCGTAGGGAAATTTGAGAGGTGATTGATCTCTGGATCAGTCAATAATTCCCACGATCCCGCCCCTCCCAGAAAAGGAAGTGATGATCAGCGGCAGCGTTAGATCAGGCCATCATTTTCCATTGTGCTCAACTCTCGACGCCTCAGAGGCTCTCAACACCACTGCCGGCACTTGCCACGGCCACCCTCCATTCCGGTGCTCACTTCTGACTCACTCTGTAAACCGTATGGAATCCTAGCACTGTAAATGCTGCACATATACATAATCAACTTCCTTCGCCACATTACGGCTTTTTCATGTATAGTATTAGAGCAGAATACTTGAACCACAGCATGAGGGAAGTACAAGAGATGAGGAATGGAAGAGTGCTCGCCAGCGAGCCTGGCTCGAACCGAAAAAGGAAGTGGCTGTGGTGCCGATGACTGCCGGTGTTCCGCCCCACGGATCACTGACAACATCATATTGAGAGCTCCAGAGATCAGTCACCTCTTGGGGCAATTACCAAGGAATTCCTTGCACGTGATCGCGTCTCCGGCTTTCTCCGGCTCGGCCCGAGCGTCGCTGATCGCGATACTGTCACCAATCAATCACTCTCGCTTAGGATGTATCGCCTCGGCTCAACACTTGCTCACAACGACAACAACAGCACTTATCGGCACTTCGATACTGTCCACTGGTTATCCCATTCTGCTCTCGCCAGTTTTCCCTATTTTTTTTTCGATAATATGAAAGCCTATGCATGTTGGTTTAATTTGCGCCACATCCGAAGGGAAACGGACAAGAACTCATGAAGACATCATGCTGTTTCAACTACTAGTACAAATTCAATACCAAAAACATCCATAGTATTGCAGTGCACATATTCTTCGATAATTGCCCTATGGGCAGAGCCTGGACACCCCCGTGCAGGATTTTCTCCGAAACTTTGGATGCTATCAATGACCCTATGCTGTAGATTTGCCAAACTCTCAGAACATGAATGGCAAGAAAAATTTAAAAGTCATGACACTGGTTGAACATTTCAAGTTTTTCAGTGAGAAAATTGCTGAAAAACTTTACTGATTTTACAGGAGTTTCTCACTGAAAAAATAGGTGAAAAACTCAAAATATATACAGAACTTTTTGGCTCACAATCAGTTTTTGCACCAAAAACAGAAAAGTTCAGAAAAGTTTCATGTTTTTCACCTACTTTTTCGATGAAAAATTACTGTAATATAGGTAAAGTTTTTCACCAATTTTCTCACTGAAAAACTAGAAATGTTCAACCAGTGTGAGCCAAAAAAATTCACAGCAGTCGTCAGTTGTTTTTGAAACTCAGCTATCTTCGGTCGTTGATTGCTGTTTGTTGTCATGCCAGCAGAATCGGCTCCCTCTTCTCCGCACCGTCTATCAAACAAAACCCGATCCGGACCTCGCGCCGTGATCTGTCGATGAACTCACGACTGTTATGAGAAAAGTTCACTGGAAAAATGCAAACCCAAATACCAAACATCCGAGAAATTCCAGTTATCATGAGCCCCTAGTCTGTACACGACCACCCAGCAACCAAATGACCGACTAGAAGCATGCCACTATAAAAAGTCATAACTTGCCTGTGGTATTCCCCAAAGAAATATCCCAGCAAACCGCAGAGGAGCAAGAAGGGAGGGAAACAACAGAAGCAAGCAGTTCGTGGGGCTAAACGTTGAGCTCGGAAGGTGGCCATCAATGACACACTGGAAGGCAGCCTAAGGCGGCATCGGCTCTCTCTTCTCAGCAGTGTCAGCACCATCTATCAAACTAAGACGGAGCCGGACCTAACACTTGATGCCTACGGATGTGTCGACGAGCTCGCAAATGTTCTTAGAAACCTTATATTTTTTTCTTTATAAAATTATGTCTGTCTGTCTGAAGCCTTTAAACTCCGCTCAATCATTACCATTGGCAGTCAACGGCTGCCTCACTAGCCTCCGAGGGGAAGTTCCGGGGCGCTCCGTGCCCCAGCACGCTCTCATTCTCTGTAAAGATCCCCCAATACTGAAACTTCGGAGAGCTTCCTATCATTCCTAGTTATGGACCGAAACAGCCGCAGACTACCGACATCATACAAGGAGGATCTAACAACTGTTCCCCCAAAAAGAACTGAAGAAACTGCAAAAAAAGGAAGAAGGGAAGGAATAAAGGAAACAACATGGTGGCAGGAAGGAAGAGGTTCACGGGACTAAATTCTGACTGCAGAAGGTCCCCATCAATGATGTATAAACCCTAACCTAACCCACTGGAACGCAGCATCGGCTATCTCTTCTCAGGGCCATCTATCAAACTACTTAAGTCAGAACTGGATTTGATACCAGATCGAACGACGAGGTCCGCGTTAAAAACCTTCTCTGCGAAGATTCGAGCTCGAATACAGAAGCTTTCGGAAAACTTGCTATCATTCCTACTTATGGACCGGAACGGTGATGAACTACCAACCACATGGACAAGAAGGATGATATATAGAAACTAACAACTGTTCCCCCAAAAAGAACAGAAGAAACTGCGAGGAAGGAAGAAGAGAAGGAATATAGAAAAACGACATGGTGGCAGGAAGCAAGAGGTTCACGGGACTAAATTTTGATGTAGAAAATCGCCATCAATGATGTATAAACCCTAACCTAACCCACCTCAATTATTTCGGAGTATCTATGAGCCACGTGAGAGAATTGCCTTATAAGGCAGTTTCATGTTAGACTAGAACCCGGAACAAGAGGTGTCCGATCTCGTTATCGGACCCACCGATAAAAACACGTGCTTTGATTTGATGCCACTGAGAAAACGCAAGGAAGGGTAAAATAAATTTGTTTTGGTGACTCTCCATGAGTTGAGCACCATTGCCACTGCTTTTAGAGTATTCCTCGCTTTTTCCTGGAAGAAATGTCTACGTCGATTGAAACATCGGATTTATGTCCCAATTTGGAAGCAACCGGCATACGAGATCCAGGGACCAAGAGCATGTTTCAACCACGGGGAGAGGGGCTCAAAGTGCAAAATTGACATATATACACTCTACATAGTTTTTGTGGATGTGCAGAAGGGTCCATGGTGTTTAGAGGAGGGGCCAAACACATCATTATTTGGCCCCCCTTCATCAGCACGTGTTGTTGATAGTGGGTCCGATAACGAGATCGGACACCTCTTGACCCGGAACACTAGGTGTCCAGGCATAAAATTATCAGTCGAGCGTGGGAGCAACTGGCGATTTATTTCCCTTCCTCGTTAGACTCGTCGTTCATGCTGTGGACCTGCGAGTATAATAAATGCCCCCCCCCCGCAGAGTCGGAAACTTTGATGCTAGTATCTGGAGGTGCGAAATCATGCTCAACAGATGCTGCATGACAACTGATATGAGACTTGGGGGTGAAGGCCGCGGCCCGGCCTGGCAAACTCGCACTTATAGTCCCCCTTTTTTTTTTCTTTCTCGGGGCTTTTTACATCTTAGTCATTTATTTTGTATAATCCGGACGCTTGGTGATGGAGGTGGGCACGGGCCGTTGTTGTGGTCATTTGTTTATTGATGTTACGCTTACAGTACCCACCGCCAAATTCGGCCCTCCGCATGCCGACACATTTTGGGACTGATGCCGCTATCCGGCTGCCATTCTGAGTAGACAGAAAGTAATATTATATGTCGGGCTACACAATGTTGGTAGGAAATTTGGTAATTCAGACTTTCGGTTGTAGATGATCTGTCTTGCTCCCCGAAATTTTCACCCCGCCGGAATCCCCACCAACATTGTGTAGCGATGCAGAAATAAAAATATCCAGCCGCCGGCGATCAGTGGTGTGATGCCGGGAACTGTTGGAAAATGCGCTACAAGTCTGGCCGCTATCACGGTGACCGAACACGTGACATACCAGTGACTCCGCCATTCCTCGACGTGCCAAAGCTTTCTGGGCAATCTTTAGGCAATCAGGGACATCAGTCTAGCTATTAGATGTTAATTGACCAAGATTTTGGCAGGAGAGGAGCATGGTATGGTATTAGTATGAGGAAGTCAAAAGTCGAGGCTCGGCGCGATATGATGTGGCTGTGCACTTCTTTGATCGGCCATCAACCCAATCGCCTATGCCCACCTCCACCAAGTTGGTGTATTCAGGTGTATTGTGGCACGTACAGCAATCCGACAAACAACACGTGATCTATACGCGCATATTACAAGTCCTAATATATGCAAATGAGCATCGAAAAAAAGAAGATGCCTCGAGAGATTTGAACACAGCCGACAATTTGAATCAATTACAAAACATAAACACAGCCACTAATACTTCACAGAATATGAAGCAGATTTAAAGGACAGCCACTATTTTACATTCAACATAGCCACTATTTATATAGCACAGCCACTATTTTGCATTGCAATCTTAAATTGGGACATTTTTAACCACACCTGGAAAACCTCATGTTGATCGATTAAAATAATGATTACTATAAGTACTCATAACTAAACCAGCTTAGACCAGCAACTGTCTGTCATATCAAAAGTAAACTGTCGATAGACAGACCAGTCGATCTGAGTTTGAATTTCCAATGCAAATGAGTTGCCTAAAATGGTTATTCATGGGACGGTGTGAGCTATCACGTTGTGATCGCCCCGGAATACGGTAAAAGAAGCATGAAACGAGCATACCGAGCACCGCGGCTGTGGATAACACATCAAAGAAAACGAAAGTACTAAACAATTACGACATGAATCGAACACGACTCAGAAATTCTGACATGGACGACCAAGCTCGGCAAGTAAAATGTAAAGATGAAGAAGACACATCACAAACCCACGGCTCGAATCGAACGAGCGAACCTCGGTTACATAATATATCCGCGGGACGACATACCAGTTATGCCACGCAGGCGACGAGCAAAATGATGCGTGTTCCTCGAACTTACAAGCGGACCGAGCACCCTTCACTCAACACCGAGGCTGCGCCGACCTATCAGAGGAGATTAAAACGCGCTGGGACGAGGAAAAGAGACGCCGAGTAAGGAGAACATTTACTGAACCAAGTTATCGAGGCACCGAGCGATGGGAAGACCGTCCGAGCGCATCAATCGAGGCACCGAGCGACGGGAAGACCATCCGAGCGCACCAATCAAGGCACCGAGCGACGGGAAGACCGTCCGAGCGCACCAATCCAGACACCGGGCGACGGGAAGACCGTCCGAGCACACCAATCCAGACACCAAGGGGGGGAAAACATGTACCGAGCATAGGGAACGGGTTACCGAGCGGGAAGAAGGAGCATTTGGGGAAAGACCGACCGGATATTACGAAGGTTGGATGAGTAGGCACCGAGCGGAGAAGGAGCCGAGCGAGGAGGGCTGCGGAAGGGCGTAGGGAAGGAGGATGGGCAGTGTTATCCGGGCAGGCGGGAGAGGGGAGCCGGCTGCGGAATTGGGGAGTATAAATACAGCATGTATGCTGATAGAAGAGGATCTTGGTTTTGGACCTACATCCTAAAAAGCTGTAAAAGGCTCTATAGCACCACTCGGTCTCACCCAAAACAAACTGTTATCACCGGAAAACACTCTCTTGCTCCTCGGAGACACTTTCCTTCCTACACCGAGCCGTCTGTCGGCAAAGTCAGGTTATTATCGAAACCCAGCTCTACACTTCCCTATCTGATCCAACTCTCTTCCTCAAACAAAAGAGGGTAGTTGAAAAACCCTCACATAAATTGAGGGACCTCAAAAATGCCAATCCGGCCCATCCGAAGTCAATTAGTTAATTTTTGACTGCACTAGCGACGATTGATGCAATGTTGCACTTGTTTGTCCCCGCACAGAAAGCCGGTCTGGAATAGCCTTTTTAGGCAACTTATTTGCATTGACATTTCAACCTCAGATCGACCAGCCTGTCTATCGACAGTTTACTTTTGATACAACGGGCTGGATTCAAACCTAACACTGTGGCTTATTCTCATTTTCATTCTTTTTACCTTTTTTTCTTCCGTGGGGGGCGACTGAGCCGGGAAACGACTCGGGGGCAACGAGCGTGCAGAGGAGAGCGTGGACGGGAGCACAACAGAGGGGAGAAGGTAGAAGGAGACGAGAGCATACCCTACCTGACCAGGAAGTCTCTAGCTACATTCAGATTTGTATCCCCATGTACAGGCACTGATCACGCGCCAGCGCCAGCCACCTCCTCCTCCGCCACTGCCTTCAACTTTGCCTTCATGCATCCGGCACAGATAGCTTTACACGACAGTCAGCATGAACGGGGGGAGGAAGGGACAGGGACACGCACTCGTCGTATTGGCATCTGCACAGCGAAACGAAATGGGAATGAGCAAGGATACCAGAGGATGGGCGGGGGAAAACGAAGGCCACAAACACACTTCTCATATGCGTGGTGCTCATGCTCGCATTCCCATGGCATGTACAGGGTCTGGCCGGCAGGTGTTGTGCAGGATTAACGGCCTAGCGGATCCTAGTTCCAGCGAGAGGTGCCCAAAGCATCCATCTTGTTACTATAGGGGAACTCGGTACGCTTTCAGTTCCTCTTGCGACGCGGCCATCGACGAAGGCATTGGATTTGGATTTGTGACATGTTACCATCACTGTTACTGTCGCGAGAAGAACGCAGTGACACAGATGTGCCCAAGGGGGGTCCAAGGATAAGGATTGGTCATATACCGTATGTAGGTAGGTTGACCCCCGACCACCGAAAAAATAATAATTGTATGCACTTTTTTTGGCCTTAATTAGAGTCTCCGAGCCGTCTGTCAGTGTTTTTTAGTATCGGGTGTGGTTCAGGACCTACCCGTATCTTTACACGAGGTGGGAGACACAAGATCGGTGCCTGCTGCCGACGGCTTGGCGCAAGCGTGGGGACCAAACATATACAATCCCGTCAATTTTCGCTTTCCCGAGCTGTCCCGAGCGTCTCGGAGCTTACCAAGCACGGTACGTCACTACCCCGGCGAAAATACGCGTGCTAATGTCATGACTAGCTAACGGACGACAGCCCACCAAATCCACAGAAGCCTCGCACCATCCTCAAATGCCCAAAGTACTCGCAGGAGGCAGGCGGTTTTGACGCTGGTGTCCATAGTTACATAGATATTTTAAATTTGCGCATAAATGATCTGCAGTGGGTCCACGGAAATGATGGTCTCTCATATTCTCCCACTCTCTTCCTCCTCCCATATCTTCCCAAGAGGTCAGTTTTTGGTCCAGACAAGTGGCTTTTATCTTACGGAGGTCCATAGAAGGTCGCTGTGTTGAAGCGTGAGATCGCAGAGATTGTGGCACTCAAGAAAGACATTGAGGGGAAGGATGTCACTTCCGCCATTCTAACGAGCCTGGTGCGGAGAGTATTCCCTCTGGTGGAGGATTCAATCACACACCTCACATTGGCTACCCACGAGGTCTACAATGTTGACGATGGCCCAACAATGGACGAACTATCTAGTACGATCATGATGATGCGTATGGGGACGGATCACCTTGAGCATTTGTTCGGCAATATCAGGGGCATTGTTGGCCATACTGCGGAGGAAGGCCAAATTAAATTAGTTGGGGAAGCGAAATAGGGCGGTGTCGAGCTAAGGCTCCAACCGTTTAGTTTTCGTTTATGAAGGCCCGTAAACTAAACGGTAAACAGTTCACAAACGTTTACAAACGTTTGCAAACGTTTTAAAAAGATAGATTTAAGCGCAATAAATTTATAGATTGTAGGTGTAGATGGTCCTACGTAGTTACGACTGTTTTGACTTGAATAACCCAGCCTTGATCCACATATTTGTAAGCATGGCTTTCATGATAGTGTCAGCATGCATGGAGGAGCGGGTTTCGCGGCAGAGGTGTCATGATTTTGAAAAGAGGTGCTCAACAGATACACCGGTACCTGGAATGGCGAAGAAGTCGCGAGCCATTGCGGCAATGACTGGAAAGTCGCGTTCGTGTATCTAAAAGGCCAGATCATTAGCGACAACAGGTAAAACAAGCAGTGCCATACCTTCCACCACGCCAAAGGTGCGTCGAGCTCACCAGACCCATAAGTGATGGCTGCATCATAAAATCGCTTGAATTCAGGCTCTGGCGGGAGCACATTATTGACCGGACACAGTGTCGAGGAAAGATCTCGCGGTTTTTGTGGGCTTGGACTGTTGAGTAGTTGGAGGTAAATTCTGAACCTTCACACCCGCAGCCTTCTTGTAGGTGTCGAAGACAAATTCGAATAAGATGCACACATGTTCTGCATGCTCCGAGCCGGTTTTCTGGAAACAGGCCATACCAAGGCCCGGATATAGCACTCGGAAACTCGTTCAGAAGTTGTTACAAGCTGAAAGAATCGGCTTACTCGTACGAGCAGCGGAATTATCAAGTGATAAATCTATGCGCCATCATTAGGATCAGGCAGAACAACGACTCATGTAACTTACACAAGTACAACTTAACCGTCCCCGCAGGTCTCAACAAGTCACAGAAAACATGGTAAACCGTTTTTTTACCGTTGTTTTACCTTTTACCGGGTCCGTGAACTATATGGATTATTAATCTGTTTAGAAACGTTTAGAAACGTTTAGAAACGGAAACGGTTGGAGCCTTATGTAACAGTCGAGCACGAAGAGGAGGAGAAACTTGAAAGAAAAAAGTTGTCATAATACATCTTCCCGTTGATGTTTGCTTTAGTCCAACTCACAGAAACTACTTCATATGAACTACAGATGGTCTATGAGGAGTTATGAGAAAATTCATGGCGCCCCCATCCATGCTGGATCGTTGTGGCCGACGCGGCGAACTTTTGATAGGGGTGCATCCCAAAAAGGGAACTTTCCCATCACCTGCTGCTTACGTAGGTAGGTAGGCCCGGAGAAAAAAATTGTAGGTGATATCATTTTTTCTTATCTTTGGACCCCCTTGGATGTGCCACAACATTCTTGTAGTGTTAAAAGTTCCAAAGCCTGGTTCAATTTACACGGAACATCCTTCAAAGTCAATCTGCATCATGTTCCAAGTGAACGGCTGAATTCTTGCGACTATGTAGGGATATTGGAACAGGATTATCATGTTTCAGAGCTATTAAAGTGTTCTAGTATACATTTAGTCAGTGCACAATAGAGTGCAACTTCATTTCGCGGTGTCCTGAAGAGGACTAGGCATGGATAGGTGTTCGGAGAATATTCGGAGAAAGCCGCGCACTGCTGCGGCAGCGCGCGGCAGCCGAGTCAATTTCTCCGGGCCCGTACTTAGAACTAAAGGAATAAAAAGAAGTAAGTTTGCACTAAAAAATAGGTAATACCCCAAGTCAAGCATTTCTCAACAGCACGTAGGACTCCGAGTATTCGAAGGAGGGGATGTATGGAGCCACACTTCGGGCTCTCAGGCCGCCCGCGCTGTTTCGGGATACTTACGGCTAGTTACGCCACAAACCCAAAGGCTCTAAAGATTGAATGAGGCTCCATTTTGTTCCCGTCGCTTGGTGGAACTTCGGAAATACTCCCCGCGTAATTTTCAAACTGTCCGACCTTTGAGGCTCTGACCAGAGGCCATAGTGTATATTAACAAACCAGCGTGAAGCGGCATGGCTTGCATATGGTGTTGCATTTGCCACTTAGGCGTGACTGCGCTACACGATGATTGAATTCCGATAAAACCTCGACTGCCCATTTGGTTGCCCCTCTGTCTGTTCTGCGACTCGCTGTCGCCACGCGTAGTTACCGTCAATTATTTGGTAGGTAGGTAGGTAGGTAGGTAGGTAGAATTACACGGCCGGTCCCACTGAGGAACGCCGGGGTCCAGAAGGTATTTGAAAAGCCCCAGCTTGATTGTACGGCACACACTGCGTTCAGCCGGCCCTTAGACCACGTTCGGGTCTAAGCGGCTGGGCAGACTGCCGCGGAGTTACACC